TTTTGGTTAAATTGACATTTTACCCTCAAAAAACAAAAGAAGGAATTTGGATGCAAGTCAACCTTTGGGGGGCAGAAGTGTCTTTTAACATTAAAGGAGTGGATCTAGCCAAAATGAGGGTGGATGGTAACACCCATTTTATAATTGCTTGAATCTTGGGTGTATCATTCAAGACAATGGACAATTAGAGGATTATGCGAACCACAAGATTCAATTAGGTTGGTTAAAATGGTGGAATGCTTTGGGTTTTATATGTGACGAAGGAGCACATTTTAGATTCGAGGAAAAATTATTATCGTACTACGATTCGACCATTTATGCTTTATGGAACAGAGTGATGAACATCAATGGGTGAACATGAACACAAGGTTAGTGTCCCCGAAATGAACATGTTTTGATGGATGAGCGGTCGTATACATATGGAGAGAATAAGGAATTAATATTGAGACCATAAGTTAGAGTGGCACGTATTATTGAAAAGATGGAAGAAACTTGCCTTAGATGGTTTGGACATGTGGAGAGAAAATTAGTAGAGCATCCAGTGAAAAGGGTGGATAATTCGAAAATAAACACGTGGCTAGATGAAGGGGTAGACCTGTTGATAAGGTGCAATGATGTCATTTGATCCATGTGCACCTGGTGGGATAAGTCATGGTTGATGTTGTTGCATTCCTTATAGGTATCCAAGCACATTTTAACATTTTTAAACGTATTGCCTAGCTTTGGCTACGTTCATATACGTACTTTACAAAACTACCTCCACATCGTGCCAAACAATGTGCTATGTTCTCAAAAGTAGGAAACAGTTTTCGAAGTTAAAACTAATCATTGATGGCAACTCCGACCACCTAGATACTCCACCTAAAGAAATTGTGACCACAATGAGTCAATGACTGTCATCACACTGTTATCCTTGGGTGACTTGACCCCATCCTACCCACCCCCCACCCTTCATGAGTCATTCAAACGTCATCTTAATATTTACAACCAATGACTGTCAACATTGCTACTATTGTTAACCGTCAATATAACCAATAACTTGTCACAAATCGATACAAATCGTCAACCACTGTCACTACCTATCACAATAATCATCAAGAACTACACAATCGGTGAGCACCACCATTTTTACCTACCACTGCTGTAACAATGTCATTCACTAAGCTGTCTTCACACTTAACGTGTGATGTTAGAAAATTTGTGTTGGTATATATGTCTTCCAAATAAGGGAAAAAGAAAAGGATGAAAAGCTAGAAATAGAAAATGAAAAACAAAAAGTGGGTAAAAAACAAAGTAAACAGACCCTTTGTGTTTTAGAAGTTTTTGTTCACATGGTTCTTTGAGAAACTCAGAAGGCTAGCTGTGTTGTTTCTCTTCCAGAACAAAGCTAGTGCCCTACTCAAACCAGCTCTATCAATGTAAAACATCCCCTCATAGCCGATCTTTACCCTCAACGGATCTGCATGTTCTCTGCCCACTTTACTTTCCATTAAAAATAATAAAAAATGAAATCTGGCTTCTTAGTACACAAGGTCAAAACTGACAAACTGTGCATGGATTGCCCAAGCCACGACAGTTCCAGCTTAAAGCACTCATTGGGACGGGCAGGTCAAGTTTTTTGAAAGGTCAGTCATTGCCACATCACCCTCCATCACAGTGTCCTCACCCTCCCAATGCCTTTTAGCCATAAAAATCACTCCGGTCTCCCAAACCAGGCCCATCTTCCATCTGTGGAGCACCCCCTGGAGGCACAAACTAACACTGCCCAACTGCCCTAGGACAACGGTTCGTATCTGCCTTCAAACTTGCCTTATACAGAAAGAATATAAAGTGTGTAGCTGTTCATTCTGGAAGATTAGCTATGACTAAGAGGGATCACACATTATCAGCTTCATACCCTGTTTTAAGGGTTCAGCCACTGGGACTGAAACACGAATCCGGTAGGTAGCACCCCATAGTAAAATTGCTAATCTTCACGAACGATACAATAAAATTGCCAATCTGTTCCAGCACTATATCCGAGGCATACCCCACTGGTAAGTCAGACAACTGCACCCACATGTCTAATGTATCCAGGACAACCGATCTCGGAAGTTCACCCACACAAACTTGCTTGCAGGAAAGAGTGCTGTTTTCAAATGACCAAGGGCCCTCCTCCTGTACCCATTGAATATCTGTTCATGGAAAAAAGATCAAAAGAAAAAAGATATGGTTCTATATAGAGAGTTTGTCCGGTACGAACTTGCCAATCAACATCCAAGTGTCAGATCTTGCACCTTTGCTGCCGTGAACTTCCACCCCCACTGGCATGATGCCAACTTTTTCCTATGCAATCTTGATCTCACAAAAAAGGATGAAACCCATCAGAACCAACTGGACGTTCCCCAGAGAGGAGGTAAATTGGGCTTTAATCGTGGCAAGGAGTGGTGCCTGCACCTAGTACTTCTAGAGGCCTTATATTTAGCATAGTAGTCTCTTGGCTGAACGTTTTTTTTAATCTCACCATAGCGGGATGCCAAATTTTCAATCGCTGCAGCAGAGGTTGCTGAACCCATTGAAGGTAAGAGACTGACCTGAAAATCCCACCAAATGCTGACTGAAACCAAACACAGCAGACGCCGGAACACTAGAAAATCTAGGAGAGAGGTAAAGAAATTTGTGTGAGTTTGATGGGCATTGTTTATCTGGTGAATTTCTATTTCTATTATAAAGCAAATCGTCCTTTGTAGAATGGTGCTTTTATTTATAATGTAATTTATTTTCTTCGGTAGTGCTCCTTGTGAGGTCTCATAGTGAAATTTGCCATTGCTTTTATGCTAAGGATCTCGTTTTCTTGGTATAATTGCAGTGTGTATCTTTTAGCAGAGGAGACAGAGATCATAGATGGTGCCAGGACGAGAAGAGAGAGCTTGAAGAGCATTGTGGTGTGGGATTTAAATGCCTTGTGTTGCAATTTACTCCATTTTCTATTTTTGCTTGATTTGATATGCATGTGGAAAGTAAGGTCGGTGGGAGTTGCTTTTGTATGTGAAAATGCATGCAATTAATAGTCACTAAATCTAAGGTGAAAAAATAGAAAACATGCATTTTATTTTTGCCATTAAATCTAAGGCAATCAATCTAATAAGATGTTTTGATGACGAGTTTCATTTTTTTGTACCCCCCCTGTTGCTACCATTTTAGCAATGTAAAAGGTATACTCTTTTTTGTTCCAAGTGTTAATTTACTTGTGCATTTTTTTGACAGATGAGTTTAGGTCTTCTTGGAATGATTGGTGGGCAGAAAAGAAGAAAGGGCATTGTGGTTCAATTTTACAAAATTTTGAAAGGGTAAGTTTTTCTCACTTAATTTAGACAGAGGATTTCTTTAGGAAAGCTGGAAACAGAGATCATTCTCTTAAGCGAATACTCCGTGCAACACTAGCTGATACTCTTCAGAATTGTCTAGTTGTGACCTCCACTTTCTTTTTGTAAAAAATTGCAGTGTTTGAAGAGGCATGGCAAGGAGTCAAAGGAATGCCAATTTAATGTTGAGACACTTAAAAACATGTGCGATATAGAAGTTTAATGACAAGCCGTTTTCAAGAGATTCTATTGATGTTCATCGTAATTGTCCTAGTTACTTACTCAGTAATGTATAAGACCTTGGAAAGACAGTCACTTGTGGATGTTTTTAAGGAGTACTTTTAATATTGAGTAAATTCTGTAATTGGTCCTTTATAACAGGGGGGTTTCTCTATATAGTTCTTTATTATCAAATATTACCCAAGTAGTCCTTTTTTATGGGTATCTTTCCACAAATAGTCCTTTTTTTGATCTTCTATCATGTTGGTGTTAATCTGAGAGCTAAAAGTGTAATTTCACAATAATAATATATCTTTTTTGTCATACACAATTTCAAAGGCTGTTCTCTTTGCGTCGTTTGTGAATTACAGTTGCTTTCTATTACAATCATAGTTTACAAATGTGGTCTTTTGTAATTATAGTCATTATTTTTGTGTTATTCACTTAACCAATATTAGAACACGTCACTAAACATAATGTTGATGTCGAATTATACTTTTAGCCTTTAAATTAATACCAACACGACAGAAGATAAAAAATGACTATTTGTGGAAAGGTACCCTTAAAAAAAGGAATATGGGGGTAATATTTGATAATAGAGGACTAAATATGGAAACTCCCTGTTATAAAGGACCAATTATGAAATTTACTCTTTAATATTTAATGAAATTTTAATCGAGTCGGGTTTACGTCATAATTAAATATAATTTTTTTCATAAAATGATCAATGGATGTTAAATTTGACCAAACTCCTATGACATTTATGCCTTATTTGGTTGAATGCTTATGACATTATACTCTTGTTTTTTGATATGCATGTTGGATTGCGGAAATCGTATCTCTTTTATTTATTACTTGTGCATCACTCCTATTTCCATCATCTCCGATGGAGCCAAAATTTCACCATTTTTTGGCTTTGGGGTGTGATGGAATAAATCAAAATGAATCTCTAAACTGTCTACGCTTCTTTAATTAATGAAGTAGCAGTTAGTCAAGCAATGCAACTTTCGACATTAAGCCGGGGGTCTCTTTGGAAACAGCCTCTCTACTTTCGAGTAGGGGTAAGGTCTGCGTACACACACCCTCCCCAGACCCTACTTTTGTGGGATTTAACTGGGTTGTTGTTGTTGTTGTTGCATCACTCCTACCATTCAGGAGAATATGATATATCTATAATTAGAGTAACCAACATGGTAACATTGCTTTGTTTATTTGTGAAATTAAATGCTGCAAAAATGATAAATGAACATAACACTATGAAATGTATTCCTTTAATATTGTTAACTTATACTCTCTCTTTTCAATAAAATACTTCACATTTCATTTTTTACAATCCACCAAAAGACTTTCCATCCATTTTCTATTAAAAATTCACTTTTAACTCTATTTTTTACCTTTTGAATTACATCATATTTTTTGCTAATAATATATCTATCACATCTTATTTTTACGAGTTACATTGATGGCAAAATTAAAGTCAACTTTAATTTAATTATTCTTTATTTTGGTATTTCTAAATATTTGACTAAATTAAAACACTTCATCATATGCAAATGCGTAATCAAATTAACGTTTAAATCTAATAGGGATGCACTATGAGCACTAATGTATCCCCCCCCCCCCCCCAAGGTTTTATTCACATGTCATGTTGTCTAGATTTTGATTCTCCGATTGTCGTCTCAACAATATTACTCTTTTTTTAAGTATACTATTTTCAAAAAAAGTTATATGGATGCGGGCTAAATTGTTTCTACCATGTTTGCTATTCGATTAATGTTCGGTTCAAGATATTTTGTTCTGAGATGAGCATTTTAAAATTTTATTTTTATACGGAGTATATTTTTAAATTTTGACTTTTTGTAGTAAAAAATTATACTAGATATGGATAAAAATAGTTTTATTTTCTAAAATATTTTTAAAAATACAAAATATTTTTTGAGTAAATTTTATAATTGGTCTTTTATAATAGAGAGGTTTCTCTATTTAGTCCTCTATTATTAAATATTATCTCAGTAGTTTTTCTTTTATGGGTACCTTTCTACAAATAGTTCTTTTTTTGATTTTCTATCATATTGGTGTTAATTTGAGGGCTAAAAGTTCAATTTCACAACAATAATATACTCCGTATCTTTTTTGTCATACACAATTCCAAAGGCTGTTCCGTATGCATCCCTTGTGAATTACACTCGCTTTTTACGACAACGATAGTCTACAAATGTGATCTTTCGTCAGAATCTTAGCCCACAATCATAATCATTATTTTTGTGTTATCCGCTTAATCAATATCAGAACACGTCACTAGACATAATGTTGATGTCAAATTATACTTTTAGCCTTTAAATTAACACCAATACAGCAGAAGATCAAAAAAAGAACCATTTGTGGAAAGGTACCCTTAAAAAAGGACTACAAGAATAATATTTGATAATAAAAGACTAAACATGGAAACCTCCCTGTTATAAAGAACCAATTATGGAATTTACTTTATTTTTTATAGAATTAATATATCATGTTATTTTTATTTAATTATAGATCGAATATTGATCCTTGTTAACTACAAAAAATAAAAACAAATAGATAAATACTCTAAGAGGGAAGAAGTATAATTAATAATTGAATTACGTGCTATGGGCTATGGCATACTCTCATTCATCCAAAAATTTCACGTCAATATTTTGATGGTTCACATTGACACAAAGTTTTAGTTCATTAACAAAAATTTACACTGAGAGAAAGTGTTGATGCATTAACAAAAAATAGCATTACATCAACACAAAATGTTGGTGCAAGTACAAATAGCTAAATAGGACATTTTTTTTCTCGTTACTTTATTTGACAAATTTTTATGTGTGAAATATCTCATATACCCATAAAAATATCGAGCCACCCCGATTGCCCATCAAGCCGCATAACTTTTTGCTTCCATCTCATCTTCTTCCCCAAAATTTCCATAAAAAATTCGAGCCACCCCATTCCACTATTAAAATATTAAATCAATATTCTTATTTCATAAAAAAATAATCATAAAATAAAAAATATAATTATATTATAATATGAATGATTATTCTAATATATAAATTAGCTAATTTTATTTCATTAAAAAATAATCATAAAATAAAAAACAAAAAATAATCATAAAATAAAAAAGGTCTTTACCGATGAGAGAATTAAAGTGACCCTTATTACATGTATGGAGGCTGACCTAAATAGACATCTTCCTCGGTCTGTGTTGAACTGAGTTGACCGGCTTTTTGTTTGTTTAGCTATAAGTATGGTTTAAATCTAAGGGTCTTTGGGTCGTGAGCTCGACCACTAGGGGTGTTCATCGGGTCAAACCCCGACCGGACCGGCCCGGACCGGGACCGGACCGAGACCGAATAAGGGGCATTTGGTGGACCGAGGACCGGACCGATTAAGCTAAGGACCGGCCCGGGACCGGACCGGGACCAGACCGAATAAATGTTATTTTTAATTTTTTTTTAAAATTTGATTTTATTTGTTTAATTTAAAGTATTCAATTGAATAAAAATATTACTACAACTAATTTTTAATTGTTAGATACTCTAAACATTGTCAAAAACATTTGTTTTGAATTTTTAAAAAAACTTAAAACAAAATATATATCTTCCATCCGTATTACATAAAATTTGTTCGTAATTTTTATTTTACATAGAGAATATTCTACTTCTTCATTCATTTTTGCTTTTTTGTAATATTTTTTTGAGTTTTCGATTTATTTTGACAAACGGATACATTTTTTACTATTTTTGTTCATGAGATTGTTTACAATGTTTGTTTTTGCGGATTATCGTTTCATTATTGATAAAGTACAAATTTAAGTGATAGTATTGGTATATAAATTTGAAATGCATTAGATCGCTAATATAAAGGTAATGTTTACTTTTTCACACTTTTCATATTTAAAATATATAAAAATCATTAGAATTGGTATCTTATTTTGAATTGAAAATGTATTTAAAAAATTATATTAAATAATAAAATCAAAACATTT